AGAAAAATAACTCTCTTCTTTTATTTGTTTCATTCATATCTTGATACTTATAAGATAAGGTTGCCAAATACAATTTTGCAATAGCTTCTTTTTTATTTGTTCAAAACTCAAAAGATAGCATAATGACTAAGAAAAGATATAGTGATGGTGTTTGTTGGTATTTGACCATTAAAAAAGAAAAAGGTACTACCTCCGTACATAGAACTTAACCATGTGAACGTGGCTTCTTTGGCTCCATGTCTCTTGGGAAATGATTCCACCACAGGTTTGCAAAAGTCAATGTATCGTTGCTGATAATACTAATAATATTAACACTATAGTTATTTGATTATTTCGGCTATATGGAATTTTCTAATAACCAGCACAGCTTATATTGATAAGGCCTATTGATTATGACGTGACCAATTTGGTTTCCCCAACAAGTGGCTCAATTTGGTGGACGATGAGTACGGTGGACAACAACAACTCTAGTTTTATCAATCAGACAGCGTAACAATGACTTTTGCATGAACGAAAATATTAAACTTTTTGGACGATAGCTATATATTTTACATTTTCGCCTCAGTGTACGTATACATTTTTGTGCGTTAATATATATATATATATATATTACTAATCATATTATCTGACGTCAGTACATCTATCACTATTTTATTACTCTGTGTCGACATATTTGACATTTTGAGTAAACCCCAAACTAGATCTTAATGAGATGATCAGGATCGCTGTCAGCAGTTCATCATGCTTATCACTTTCAAATTTTAATAAGCATTTCATATTTTCAGGTCTAGAGATTGAGAAACATAAATTTGTTTCTTACATCCTTTTTGCAATTTTGTAAAATATGAAAAATATTACAAAAATATAATTTTGATTTCAGAAGTCATAATAGTATATATTTTGCTTTTGCTAAATGGCAAAAAGAAGTCATATAATATATTGTTATTTTGTTATACTACATTCTTCTTTTGGCAACTTTTATGATACTACCATTTTTTTGTGAAAACAAACAAAGTGTGTAAGAGTATATATCACAAAGTGTGAAAGATTCAAATTCCATTTTTTTTTAAACAAACAAAGTGTGTAAGAATATATATCAAAAAGTATATAAAAATATAGAAATCACACAACGCATCACCACCGTAGGATTAGTTTTGCTCCGTATGAATGGCTTAATGGTACAAAACGCATAAATACAAAAATAAAATAAAAAGAGCACATAGGGAAGAAGAAGAAGAAGTAAGCAACATGACAAAAACAATTGGTAAACAAGAAAGTTCAAAGTCAACGCTTTTTTTTAGGGGGTACAACGTCACAAACACGCAAAGTAAACAGCTCATTTGCTTTGCTCGATCTTGGCCTTCCTCTTCTCGTTGACAAAGAAGACGAGCAAAGCCACGACGGAGAAGACACTGAAGCAGACGGATGCAATGTCTAGGGACTTGTGGCGACCACTGATAGCCTGAACGCTGAAAAGACCGGTTTTCTTGGCTGCGTCCGTGCTCTGTCCAAAGGCAACTTCATGGTCGTTTGCATCAACCGCGTAGGCACGAACGAAGTAGGTTCCGGTGGGGATGTCACGCTCAAGGGTCCAGTCAATAGATTGAGTGGTTTTGTCATAAGGCCTGGCCACGATCTTGTGTGGGCAGGTCTTGTCTTTGAAGAGCTCGTCATGAGTCTTGCGCCATGGTCGGTCAACTTGGCTGGTCGGAGCGTAGCATAGCTTTACTTTAATGGTTTTAAATTCAGCCTCCTTTTTTGACCCTGTCGAGCTTAGCTTCCATGTAATGCTTATTTTGTCGATTCCAGCATCCAAAACTAAAAATATCCAATATATATTGATCAGCCTTGATGTATAAATTAATGTCAGATTATATCATACATATTCACGTATTTCTAAGTAATTTACAAGTAACGTTTTCAACACTTATGATGAATGTTTTAAAAGAGAATTATTATACTTACCGACACCTTCTCCTTCTCGGCTAGGTTTAGTGGTGACTTCAAGTGAACCTTTCTCAAGATCGGAGAAGAGCCTTTCTTTTTTTTCCGCACCTAGGCTAGATTGGATCAGTGTACATATGAGAAGTGAAGCAAAGAGGATCTTGTGGATCGCCATGGATATACTTGAATCTGAATATCAAGAAACTAAGGCTTAAGAGGAGAAGAGGAATATGCCCCTTTGTGTGTTTGCTGACTTTGAGGTTTGATAAGAAAGGTGGGGTGCACATTTATGTCTTTATATAGTGATTTATGGTAATATCGTCCTTGGATCAAATATCTTGGAAGGGTTAGCATAAACAATTAATAAGGACAAAGTCAACGGTTTGGTCTGAGATTACCCTTTGGAAGACTTGGGAAGATTGTGTTCCCTCTCTGGCACAAGTGCCTGTGTTGTCTCCGTCCAGCTGAGACGGCTCCTAAACATGCCAAAGGATGAGATATGACTATATGAGCTTTTGTTTTTTTATTATTTATCAATCAACTGAATAATTCAGTTTCAGATTCCAAACAAATTATAATATTCCATGACACTTCGCCTATAAGATACTCTACATATTCTAATCATATCCGCTTTTTCTATGAATCCTCTTGAGAAGATATACTAATCGGTTATAGAGAATAAATCTTTTCTAGAAAGAATGAATTGAATGAGCACGATCACATTTTGGTTTAATGCAAATTTTTGTTTGTGACTAATAGTTTTTACACGGTGTAAATTACACCTATAGGTGTGTGTGTATATATCTGAAATATAGTTGTTTAGAACTTACACGTTACCAAGCTCGACCATTATATATATATGTGGATACCGTGTGGCTAAAACTACATGTTAAAAGATCAACAAATTATAATATATTGGATACAAACTCCATGAAAAGAAGTCCAACGTCCGTATATGGTAATGAAAGCCTCTTGAAGCTGCAATACTATTGTATGTCTAAGTTGCCAAATACAAATTGTTTTTTTTTTGTCTAACTTCTTCACGTCCTGAAAAAATCCAAGTTTGTCTTGAGTAAGAGCCATTTTAGATACAAAAAAGTCAACTTTAGTGATCTATTACTCTGACGTTACTATGTTTTCTTCATCCTTAAAATCCCAAAATTCACACACAAAGCCTAATTCAGTTATCAAAAACTCCGACCATCAAACCTGCCGACCATGCTCATCGACTTGCCTCATTGTTGCTTTAGCCCAATAATCAGTAACAAAATAAAAATCTGTACTCAAAGATACTTCCATTACTCATTTGTTTTTTTTTTTTCTAATTGAAATTTAAAAATATTAGCATTTTTCAGTTGTTTTACCACAAACTAAATCAGGCGTTGATCATGTATTTTTTGTTCGATTTTTTTGGCATTTACCAAGTTTGATTTACATTGGCTTATATGAATTGAACTAATAATAGTTAATGAATTAGAATAGGTGAGCGAAACAACCAACGTGAAGGGCAATGGTTTTTCTATACTATTTTTGAGGAGCTTTTTAAAGCAAACGACTACTACTACTATTAGATTAGATATGAGTATGACTATATTTTTTTATTAGAAAATAAAATGTTTTATTTTAATCAAGCCCTTCGGAGTAAAAAAACCCTCAAACAAAAATCTCAACAATTTAATTTCAAATATATATTTTTCCCAAAATCTTATAATAATTTCACAAAAACATGTTTAATAGCCAATTAAATTTTTCCGGTAATTTCTAATACACTATGTAATTAGAAACCTTTTTTTTTTTTGTTTTTTTTTGGTAAAAGTAATTAAAGAAAAGATGAGAAGACCATTTATATGACTTACGCTTTCTCCTCACTCTGTCTATCGTGACTCTCTATCTTCCAGTGTTTAAGTCCTTTTCTTGTGAAGCCTCCAGAAAATGGCGTTTTCTAAGTTACTCTTGTTTCTTTTACTCGTTCTTCTTCTCTGTTATTATCTTACAGTGATTACGAAGAAGCTTCTTCCTCAGGTAACGGTTCATTGGATTTCATATGAAGTTATGTGTGTTTAGGGTTTAATAGATTAACCAAAGAGAGTCTTTTCAGCTTCCGTTCTCTATTTCTAAGAATCACTTTCGTAAAGGTGACAAGACTTTACAAATACTATAAGCTACAAAGTCTTTAACATATGCTTTTGTTTAATTCTTTATTTAGTCTGAGACTGAGAATCCAGTGAAGGAAGTAGAAGGAAACACTTATGAACTTCAGAAACAGGTAGGTTTTGTAGTTTAGAGTTGTGTATCTCCTTTTTTGCTTAGTTGACTATACTGTTATAAAAGAGAAGCTCTTTGTGTTTTTTTTTTCTTATTAACTTTTGACTTCACAGAAATGGATTCCAAGCATCAAAGATGCCTATGTGACATTAACCATTTATCTCAAACCAAACATTCGATATTTAACCGATAAGTCCATCGAGGTGTTCCATACGTGTAAGCAGGCTTTGACTCCACATCTCATCCAAGCATTCAACATTTCATACAACTATCTTGAGGTTAATATGTTTCCATCTTTATTCATCCGTCTGCTTCTCTTTTGACATTACATAAAACATATAGTGAACATTGTCTTGTTTTTCTAGGTGAGCCGAGTTAAGAACCTAGGGAAACCACATCTGGAGAAAGTACAAGTTGCTTTGGAGGCATACATCGAAAACGCAAGACATGGCCTCGAGAAGTGGGTTAACTCGACAAGGATCTTTGGGAAGACGGAATAAGGAAAAGTTTCGCAGGGAGCACTCAGCAGCAATTTTCATTTTGTTACGACTTACAACTCATGGCATGTGTCTACTATGATTTTTAATCAAACATTAATCATATTAACATGATCGTTAACTTAATTATATCATTTAACTTAAAAAAATATATATTACTTAGATTCCTCGAGTCTTGGTTGATAAGAGAAAAGATGGAAAAATATAAAAGGGCACATTTAACACAAGTACAAACTTTCTTATTCCTGAGCCTCTTTAAGATACTTTTTTCTTTACTTCTACTTAAAAAACTCATTACAATTACATAACTATTTATTTATATAAAATGAACTTTTTTGCTAAATTCATATAGAGTTTATCTGTGATGGGGAAGACGTTATTACATCAACAATTTTGAGTGATGTCTACCAAATCTTTGGTCCTAAAACCACTCTGTGATAGAAGGTTAATAACATTGATTGAAGCAGAAGAACAATCCTTTTCGTTTGTCTTCACTTTTGGCCTTTGGAGTTTCCCCACATTCATCAAGCTTAGCCATCAAAGAGCTAGTTCCAGGAGAATCCGGTGGCAATAGTGTGTTCTTTGAAGCAAGAATCCGTTGTGGAATCGCGGATATAGGAGATCCAACCTTGGAGAGATAGTTAAGTAGTAACTCAATGATATGTGTGAAGTTGGGCCGAGCATTCGGATCCTCATTCCAACATGATGTTACAATGTCGCCTAACTCCTCTGGTAAGCTCTCCGCACTTGGCCTCACATTCTGTAAAGATATATGTCAAATAAAAGGAGGAGAGTACTGTAAAACCAAATCCAAAAGAAGCAAAACAAGACAGTGTTACTCACTTTGAAGGCTGCTGCATATGCTGCTTGGAGATTCGACATTCCCTCAAAAGGCAATTTGTTGTGTAACAGCTCCCAGAGAACGATTGCAAAGCTATAAGCATCGACTTTATGGTTGTAATGCTTCTTCTCTCCCAATCGAAGTGTTACCGTGCTGTACAACTGTAATATCCCATCAAGATTTCATTTAAGCAACTGAAAGAGAAGCACGAGAAACTAACAAATGTTTTCAATAGTAAAGCACCTCAGGTGCCATCCATCGGTATGTTCCTGTCTCAGCTGTCATCATCTCAGTTAGTGACTCTTCTCTTGCTAATCCAAAGTCTGCTAGCTTTACTGTTTTGTGGTCTGCAGTTAAAAGCAAGTTCTCTGCAAGGGAAGACAAAAGATCCTTTAACATCATTCTTGCAAAAGTAAGGTCTACAACACTTCATACTAAATCTAATCATAACCAGCAGAATATAAAAAGAAACTTGAAGCGTGTGTGGTGTCAGACAATAAAATAAGAAAGAAAGATTCTTTGTGATTGAGATCTGAGCATGTGGTTTCCATAAAACAAGTTGTTTTGCAAATACTTTAAGCAGATCATTAAATGACATACATAGGTTTAAAGAGAAAAGAATGGTATTTTTACCAGGTTTGAGATCACGGTGAATGATCCCATGGGAATGCAAGCATTCCATGCCACGAGCAATATCAAGCGCAAAACCGATGGCCACACGGGTCTCCAAACATGCGGGTCTCAAGTTTAACAGATATTTACGCAGTGTACCGCCTTGAAGAAGTTCCGTAACTATCACCATTACAGGCTCCTTGCAAGCACCAATGAACTGTTTCAAAGACAAAACCCAATGAAATGACTCATCTATAAACCTTCAAGCCATTACTGATAAAACTTTGAGCCAAAATCAGCCATAGATCTCAAAAAAGCAGAACCTTGACCAAATTCTTGTGTTGAACTCGTGAGAGCATTTCTACTTCTCTTAGGAATCTTGAATCCCTCTTTGCAATCTCTTCTGGTGTTTCTCCTCTGTGAACTATCTTTATAGCAACTGTCTGATTCTTGTATCTGTAACAGATCCATTAAAAACCCCAACTTTTGAATACCCAATTGAGCAAAATTCAATAATCTAACTAGGCAAATCTAGATAGATGAGTCCACCAAACAAGCATTTTCTTCAGACCCATATAGAACAAGCACTAAACTTCACTTACCCACAAATCAAAATCCAAACTTTCCCAATAATCTCATCAGCTAAGAGTGAAAGTTAAATCAAAATCAAGAAAGTGAGAAAGAAGAAGAAAGGAGCTTACTTTCCCTCATAGACTTTGGCATGAGCACCTTCTCCAATCTTTGGTCCAACAAAGAGAAGCTGAGGATCAATTTGCCATTTGGGTTCCATTCTGTATCCAGTTAAAGAATCCATTGCAAGCATTTACCACAATCACACAGATTACTTCATCCAACCTTGAATCAGGACACAAAGCAACCACATTTTTTCCTGATCTCTCTCTCTCTCTCTAATCTGATATACCAAAAAGACTTGTCCTTTCTTTTGTGGTTTACCACTTTCTTGATTTGTATCTCTGAAGATTTGAGAGCTCACACGGCAAAGAAGAGAAGAGATAAGTAAAGATAGCTAACATGGCCTTTGATGAGGCAAAAGCAAGTATCCTCACATGTCCGTAAATTAAGCACAAGTCTTAGAGAGAGAAGAAGGCGACACCAGGCAAGCTCTCCCCCAACTAATATATAAGTGTTTATATAAATATAGATTATATATTAAATAGAAAATAAATTGAGAGAACTCTCAATGGATAAGAGAAGAATCTTTACAAAAACAAAGATAGAAGCAGAGCAAGGAAGAAGAAGAATCAGTGGTTATGTGTGAGTAGGAAGAACAACACTGGATCGCTTTGGTTTTTGGGTTTTGTAATAAGAAACTTGAGGGATTCACTTGATGAGTTTTGGAGGTTTGTTTAATTTATCTTTGATGGTGGCAGAGTAGCGCATAACCATTGTCTTGATGTGGAAAGAGAGACAAAGAGAGTTTGGTGTGGTGAGTAAAAAAAAAAACTAAAAGATCAGAAGATTAATTGATTGATTTTGGTTCAAGTTAAAAGACATTTGTATGTAAAGTTTAATATTCAAAAATCGTGTTTGTTATTTTGTTAATTTAATGGATCGGTAGTGACTGACTTGACTTATTTCAATTTCATCTATAAAAATTAATATGTGAATTAAAACCAAATGTACTTTACCAAAACAAATTCAACTCATAATCTATTCTTAAAGTAAACTCTAAACCTATAGAAAATAACAATTTTAATTTCAATCAAATATTAAACAGAATAAAATTTGCTAAGTGTCTCCTTTTTTGGGGGGTTAAATTTATAGCAGAGTCCGTAAAACATCAATTACTTTTGTAAAATATTGACATAAAACATTTGACATCTCTAGTGAACTTTTGGTTTGGAGATGATGCTAAATGCTTAACATTTGCATGAAAATATTCTTTAGTTTTTAATATTGTAATTCACATAATTTCTCGGTAAAATATTTTAGTTAATTTTTTTAATTGGATTTAAGCGTAATTCACGAGATTCATTTAGAAAATAATATATTAATCATATAAAAATACCACTAAGTAAATACTTGTTTTTGTGCAATTTCTTCGCAAACATCAAGAGCAATTCAAACATGTAAAAACTAACATTAAATTCATTATGGTTCTCGAGAGTATTACTAATATTTTGTATGGTATTAAGTCTATTATGGTTATATTATAGTTGATCTCTAACATAATTTTAGAATATGTTTGTAAGTAAAAAAATTTGAATTATAAATTTGAGTAGATCCAAAGACTCTTGCTGAAATAGAGTATCTCGACCAAGCTATTTTTGCGCATTTCCTTCCTTTTTTGTAGACAACGGCTTTTGTCACTCAAGGTAACGTTTCCTTTTATATGTTGTGAAATGTGTTTCTTCCTTCTTAGATCTTAGAAGCCAACCAATTTATCTAAAGGCATATACTGTATGTCATGTCTTTCCTTATGTTGGTGTGGTAGATCTATTCAAAAATGGCTGACTAAATAGTAAAAGTATCGTAACACATCGTCTGTAGAATCTGTTTAAATGAGTGACATGTCGTAGTAAATTGTATTTGACATCATCGAAATGAAATGTTTCGACAACTTTTTAGAAAGCTATAAATAAGGATTATTTTTTTCTTTTGTTTTGTTTCTACTAACGAAAGGGTTTTTTGCTTAGCAAAAAAAAACATAAAGATTTTTGTTAGTTTAGGCATACTTTTGTTTAACTTTTTTCTCCTATTCCTTTTTTTTTTGGTTTTTGAGCGCCAATTTTATTTTGTAGTTGAAGAAGAGAAAAGAAATGTAAAAATTCATAGTTTAAAAAGTTTATAGTTGTAGGAAAATAAAAAAATAGTTTAAATATACTTTAATTAAGACCAAAAACTGAGATCATTTGGGGTTTTAATAAATCGCTAATGATTTTATTTCCTTAAACTATTTACAAGATCGGATTTGAGATTAAATAAATCTCTTTTTTAAAAATATTGATAAAGAAACATTTTCTTAAAGTAAAATTCAGAAGGGTTTAAATTGTTTTGTAACGTATCATTTTATAACTATATAGAATTTTAATACATTTAAAGCACACAAAAATTTAATTTGATTCCGTATAAATAAATACAAAAGGGAAAACCATTCACAAAAAGACATATATTTTGTTTGTTTATATACAAAAAAAAACTCTCTAACAAGGAACAACCAACCAATTAACCAACCATCAAGAGACTAACCGCGAGGATCTGCCTCTCTAAACAGAACCCTGAACAAGCACATCGCCACATCCGCGGTGATTGTCTTCCCTCTCCGTGCCAGAACGCGTCGCCGCGTACCCGAGAAAGCCAACAGAACAAGCACAGTTATCCAAGCGACCATGGTGGCTCTTGCGGCCGCGACCAACATAAGAAGCGACAAGGCTGCAGCTATAAAGAAGGCGGTAAATAGAAGGAGTTGGTAAGAGAGTGGATTAGTGGCTGAATATTCCGCGGTCGAGATTGTGTAGAATGAAGAGACGAAGAAGATGAGACATGAGAGAGTAACGGTGGTTGTTGCTCTACTTTTGCAAAGATCCATAGCTTGTTGAATGAACGTGAAGTCAAAAAGTGGTTGTTTTGAGATTATATTATACTAACAACAATGGTTTAGATGGAATTAATAGAGGAGATTTGATTAATTTAATTTTGAGTGGTGTTTTCATTGGAATGCATGTGAAGGCACATGGGGGAGGTTGAGTTGTGTAATGAGAATGATTCATGAAGGTGGTTTGAAGTAGGAGACACATAAAGGCATTGGGTGTCTCTATTTTGGTATTAAAATATAGTAAGAATTATAAAAACAAAAGATGGGTGAAGACAATGAACAGACACAAGCATGGGAATGGTGCAAGTAAAAAAGGATTCTTCATCTCGGGGCAAATACTGAGGAGCAGTGTATGCTATGTAATGTATGTTCGGCTGCTCTCATCAGTTTTGGGGTGTGTTTGCTGTTGCTGGTGCATCAACTCGAGGTCTATAGATTCGTTATAAGATAATGTTAAAAACGAGACCTCGCAAAACTCAAATTTATGACAAATTCAATTGAAAAATAGAAGAAAAGATAGTTCAATAGTATATGGATAGAAACGTGATTTCAGAAATTTTATAAAGAAATGTAAAATAACATTAGAGAAAATTATATCCTATGCCCTCTACAGTAGCCAAATTTGTAAGCATTGCCACTTTGTCCAATGTCTTCTCCCACCTGCCATAAGGACCAAACAAAAAGACAATTTTATCCTCATTGTATTAATTCTTGTGCAGAGTAAAAAGTTGAGTTGGGTTATTTTTCCTGCGACAGTTTCAGAGTTCTCTTTCCCAGATTTGACTGTTCACATTCTGCAGACATACAATTTTTTCTAATGGACAACCTACGCATACTAAACAATTTTTTTCGTTCACAAATTCTCCCACCATGTTTTACTTTCGATCTAATTCAATATTTTGATATGGAAGGCGGTGAACACGGAGATGATCATTCCAGATCCGGCGGAGATCCTCTCAGCCCGATATCCAAACAAAATTTGTTCTCAGAACTCCTCAATGTAAGTTTCAATGGACCAGATCTACTACACCTAACATGTCCATCAACAGTGTTGTCCATATAGTTTACTACTTATCTTTTTGTGTTTGTCATTCACCAATTTAAGAAAGCTTATGCAATCCTTGCCAGAGTACCACAACGTTGCCTCCAAATACCACAATTGTCCATTACTTCTCAATGTAAGTTTTAATAGACGAGATCTACTGCACTTAATATGGCCATCAACACAATTGTTCATATCTTCTTCTAACTCATCTTTTTGTGTTTGTCCTTCACCGGTTTAAGAAAGCCTAGACAAACGTTGTCGGAGTACAATTCTTACTGACCACATGTCAGAGGACACGCATAGGAGTTGTCTCTTGGAATCTGTCAAAGTGAGTTTTCGATGGACCAGATCTACTTTATATATTTTGTCCATCATATATTATTTACTCATCCGTTATTTTTTACATCATTTTATAGATTGTCTATCGACTATACACACATCGATAGGCAAGTGGACATCTCTACATATTCTTGATTATCTTGTCTTGTCCACCGTAATTAAGCTGCTAAAATCGGAAATCGCTGCTCCTTCTTCACCACCCACACCTTCCACAAAACTTCTCCTATACTTGTCCTCCATTAATACTATTTCAGATCTGATTTTGCAATTTTTTATTTTTTGTTTTGCTTCTAAACACCCACTAAAGCATTTGTCCCCTAGATATTAGCATATATTGTAGCATTTAATGCCATTGTTACTAGCCCCAAAAACATCCCATCACATTCCAACTTTCGAACACAATTGGCAATTGAGTTGTGAGTTGGTGAGGGCATAGTTGTCTTTTCGTGCTATATTAAAAATCCTATTTTGGCATTCAATAAAATACTTTTAAAACATTGGCAGATTGACAAGTTTGAGTTTAGAAAAGGGTATAGAATATAATATTCCCATAACATTATTACATTTACATTTTAAAATATAGTTTTTTATTCTATTGCTAAATACCCCTACATTATTTTAGCATAACAAATAACACTCAATATATGTATTTATATTTTACTTATCTTTCAAAAATACTATTCAATAATTGTAAAATAACATGTTACATCAATGCATATCATCATCAGAACAATAATAGAATGTTATACAATTTGTTAAACATAGATTTTCATTTTATTCTTAAAATGTGTATATACAATCTTTTCTGTATAAATATAACATAAGATTCTATTTGCTATTATACAATTCCATAAACTCACTTTTGTTAATACAGTAAATGTCAAACTCTTGATAGATTCTATGTATACCACAAATTGGATCTAATTGTGTAGCTAAGCACTAATCTTGGGGATATCGTTTAGGACATGAAATGGTTTAAGGTTTGTATAAGTCAATCTACACTACACACCTTCATGTTCAATTCCCTACTATGTTGGTAAGTGAATCACGTGATTGGATCAAGTCAAGTCGAGATTCAAAATTTTGACTTAAAGAGAAAGAGATGTAAAGAAACAAGTATAGTTTTTTTATTAGTCAGAGAAGTGTCAAAGATGAATTTGCTACAGACTCTTTCTGGAACAAATCAAATATGACATTTAATCGAGTCCTAAATTTCTCCATTATACTTTTGCTAATCCTCTGTTCGAACTTTATAGTTTTGAGCCACCTGATCTTCAGATACACATCGCATTTACTTGTTTTACAATCAACTCCTGCTTTTTTCACCTCATACCTTAGATGAACCTACATGATCATCATCATAATTATCATCATCATAATTACCAAATTGAATTTTTGGCCTGTATATAAAAAATCAGTGGAAGAAGAAGGCTTACGCGAAAATGGTCTCCGAATGGAACATCATGGAGAGCCACAATCTCATTCAAGATCCAACCTTCATCACTTGGAGCTAGAGATTTCTGTTGTGCGCATGTGACTCCGCCTCCAAACACAGACACATAGTGATTATATTTGTAAGAAAGCCGTCTTTCGTAGACCCCCGGGTTCTTAGATTCCCAAGTTGTACTTGCGTAATTCAAACATCCAGATTTCTCCATGATCTTACGCTCCAGTTCTCCGCCACCAAAGATCTTCATTACCAATTCCACCTGTAACAGAAAATATTTTGAGATCAAGTTCCCAGAAGACCATCTTCAAACCGATCCTCACTTAACACTGCAGAATCGCATAGCCTCTCTTAAATGGAAGTAGCATAGAAAGGAGTTAAAGATGATGTATACATCGCAAGGTAGATCACGCGTGTACACTTTTGACATCTTTAATGCATCCGAATCTGAAACAACTGCAACATCTTCAGGCAAAAGGAAGGGATCTGACACATCTTGTTCTTCTTCTGCTATTTGTGCTCTGTGATCTACACTTAACGTTCTCGTTTTCCACAAAGCCATGATTGTCCTGCCATATTCAAGAATAATTCAAAATTCAATAGCTAGTAAACTAATCGTTTTGGGTTTGGTCAGCTTAATAATCATGTAAACGAAATTCCTTAACGGACCTGCTAGTCGCATCAAATGACACAAAAGACTGAAAATAGAACCAAAGTCTTCCTTCATCATCCAGAGATTTAGCCCCATGTTTTGCATCAAGACCTCGGTTCTTTTTTAGAATAATGAGTAGCAAAGGGCTTCCTAAGGAAGCAAAAGTTGGGGGAAGCACTTGGATGTCATCAATATCTTCCCAGAGGAAGTAAAATTTTGTCTTGTGTCCAAATACATTTGAGTAGAACGCCACAATTCTAGCAGACAGATAGAGCTTTCCCTGTTAACATTAGCAGCAAGCATATATTAGATTCTAACATCAGTTCCATTCTATTCTAGTGTCTATTTTCTGTATTCCTGCTCAACTATACTGCCTAATCTATGGGTACATCCACCATGCTGTCGAAGATATTTCTTATGTATCGAGTGGAAAATAGTTCAAGAATTAACCAGATGAAAAGAAAAAAGACGCAAACCTGCACAGGAAGTTTTCTCTTCAAGTAACAAGTATATTCTTTGAGAAGAAATTCTTCATGGGGCAAACCAAACAGTTTCTGGAAAGCACAGTTCTTCTGTGGTGACCGAATGTTTAACTGTCACGATATACAACAAGAGAGCAGATATCAGAGTTGGACATGAAAGTAATGAAGGATTTTTCAAGCAACCACACCAAGTCGCAAAGACTGGCCAACTAATGGTACTTCATCACAGTAGATGCACATGTTTACCTTCTTGCCTACTTCCTTTTCCACCTTACTCAAGTAATCTTTCATTGTTTCAACCCCGTTCTTGTTTTCCAAAAAAATTCTCAACTGTAACTTCGACTGAGACGCTTGAGCATGATGACCAACTAAAGGAACACACAAGTCCGCAAGTTCATCGGCTGTATGTTTAAAGAAATTGATCTCTGCATGACCAAGAGAGGCACCCTGATCAAATGGACCATCAAAATCAAATACCTCCACATCTAATACTGATGGTGGTTCCTCCATTGCATCAAACTCGATTACCTCTGCAATCACCACACCATGTATTATTAAGTGGCATTGTGGCGATATATTAGAAAACAAGGTAAAACTGAAATATAGAAAAATGATACGCAGGATTTTCACTGACGATGAAAATATAAATAATAGCAAAAGTTTGATTACCATTCCACTGAGGATCCTGGGCTTGAAGTTTGACAGAGCTTGTTCTTGTTTTCCCATTGCAAGTGAAAATAACATAGGGATCAAAGAGCTCTGTTGCTTCCACTGAAGCCAAATTTGTGCCTTTGATTAAAGCTATTGTCAGAATCCATCCTTTGCCATTTGATTTGACTCCATGATCTCTTCCTGAGATCAGGAACAAGAACTCAACGTCAAATGGGCTGCACAAACAATACAAGTTTGAAGGTATTTTCTAAAGAGAAACTATCATCCTCACCTCGATGCAATCTAGCTTGTATAAAATGCACAGTCATCATATACACACGCTCCAGAAGAAGAACTAGCATTCCACTACTGAATAGCTCTCCAAAACTATCAGGTAAATCAAGCCCATAGAATTCAAGACCTTGGATTTTGCTGGGCTCACAGTGCAGAATATGCACTACAACATATATAGACAAAAGAACAGCACAGATGACAGAAGAACTCCAGAAGTATAGAAAAGCTGATTTCAAATCAGTCTTTTGTTCTGACTGCACTGTTGCTATAACCTGGTCTTTGTCCAATACAACAGCAGGATCTAGAGTTTTGTAAGTCTTAGCCAGGAGATCAGAAAATTGTTCAAAGCTCTCTCTCAGCCCTTGCTTAGCACCTCCTTCGATCATACCTTTCATTATAGTACTTTGATTGAATTGAATTCCCCATGATATGATCAGTCGAGAAGATTCCCCACCAGCAGTTGGCTCTGTTTCAGGTAGTATCTTGTAAAGCAACTCTACTTTAAAAGTACTTCCATAGGGAACATCTGGAGTACTTACACTAACAAAAACAGCAAATTCTTTCCCATTTGCTTTCCGATAAATTTGATTCTCCGTTGCTTTAACCGCTTTGACCATTTTTGTTGCAGCCCTCATGTATGTAACAACCCGAGTTAGATGAGGAGTATCTTCTTGCATCATTGTCCAAGGCCCTTCCTGTACATCTGATAACCCTTGAAGTTCAGCTACCTCTTTCCTAAATTCCGAACTTGGTGCGAAAAGAAATTTGTTAAGATTGCAGGGCGAGACTAAATATTTCTGATCAACAAGAACTCCCCCTGTAAGATTCTCAGGCATTTCTTCCTTTTCACTGTCACTAGACTGCATCAGGTCAAGACCTTCCTCAAAGCTAGTACACGTAGCAGAGCAAGAAGATTTGTCTGTGGCATCCTCATAATTCGAGGTTATGCCTTGCCCTCCTGATGAGTCGTCATGGAGTCTTTTAGAAATTTCCTCTTTCTTATGAAAAAGCTTGTCAATCTGGTTGACAAAATTCTTCATTATGTGCTTCCCATCATGGTGGTGTTTACGCTTTTTCCCATCTTTGGAGGAACTCAGATCTTTAGGAGATCCTTCGAGTTCTTTGACACCTTCCAACATGATATCCTGCTTATCATTTTGGACTTTTTCACCAGAGTTACTTTCCCACTTCCCTTGCAAAGACAAACTGAGAAGAATTTTCCCTGCAAGACAAAGGTACAATTCATATCCATAGATAAACCACGATCTCCATATACACACACAGATACAAAGCTCAACGCCAACAAGGGAATATATCAAACTCAAAGATTTCGATGATTCTTGTATCTTAATCTGGCTCATCTGCCTTAGATAGCAGATAAAGTTTCTTCTTCATAAACTAGGCAGTCCAGACTTCTAAATACTATCACAAAACAAAAATCATAAAAACAGATTATGAGATTAACAGTTCTTCAAAATGTGACACAAATCTCAATACCAAACAATTACCTCACACATTCTCATATATGATCTCAAGGTATTTCACTAATAACAAGCCACTGCACTAAGTAAAGACTTCACCTAACACCAGAAAACACCATTTCATATGAATCAAAGCTTAATTCATGATCAACAAAGTAAGCACAAATCTTCTCATCCTAAACGTTCATACTCTACTGGTTCCACAAGTGACTACAGAACCAAAATCAAATACGAAACAAAGTCGAAAAAAATCGAAGAAACTAACCACATTCAATGTTAACAAGCTTGCCATCACTAGGCTTCTCAATCACAAACCAAGTAGGCAAGAGAGTTTGATTCTCTTCAGCAGCAACGGAACGAAGAGGAATCCTAACTTTACCAATCAATCCGGTCGAAACATTAGAGTAACGATCCAGCTCGTGGTGAAGAATCGAAACAACGACGTCGTCGCCTTCGTCGACGACATCGGTACTGATCCTGAAAACGAATTCCTCATTCCAGATCGGTGAAGAAGTGTCTCTCGCGACTCTCGTCTTAGACTTGTGTTTCCCAACGTGAAGCTTCGCGAACGTCTCTTTCGCCGGCAAATCTTTCGCTTGTAGTATGTAGACGTAGAGCCTCATCGATTAGAGAAAGCGAAACTTTGAAGCGAGAGAGCGAGAGAGATGATGGTGGAATCAGAGAAATGTGGATTTGTTAGAATTCGAAAACTGAAGAGGAAGGGAGAAGTTAAAACCCATAAAGGGAAGAAACAGAGAGAAAACGTGGGAGAGGAAGAGAGTGACACGGAAAGTGATGATTGGGATGATGGGTCGGTTTACACACATTCGGCTAATTTTGTTGGTTTTGTGATTTTTTTTTTCTTTTTCCTCTTTTTTTCCATATTAAATTTTACTTTTTAATTTAGAGTCCGAATTGTAACAGCGAAAATAGACAGTGCGGATTAGACACTAATCCGATATTGATTTGAATCAAAATTGATAAGGTGATAAAAATATATGTTTGAATGGTGAAAAAATTGTAACGATTAGTTTGAGAAAAAAACGACTAATTTTGGCGTTTAAAATGGTGTTTAGTGTGTAACTTTGCTTTTTGTTGTGTGTGTGTTTGTTTGAATGCTGGGCAAAGCCGTTTCACAGCTTTGGTAGAGTGGAACACGATTCTCAAGAGATGGTTTTGTGAAGTGAGAGAGAATCTTTGGGTAATTGGGAAATTAAAAAAGGAGAGTTATTATTAGAAATTTGAGCTTTGTTTGTACTTATAAAGATCTTTTGATTGAATAAAAACACTATATGTTTATTTTCTTACTTAACTCCTAGATTTTGTTGAATATAGTCATTGAAGTGTGTCAAAAAAAATTGTGATTTCTTTCTTTTAACTTGATGAGTGCATGTGGTGGTACTAAAGATATCTATATGTTGAAGATGTTTTATAGTTAAACCATAGATTAATATAGTATTCATTAAAAAAAAAAAAGCTAATCAAGAATACCGAATTCAGAAACTACATGAAGTTTTGTTTCTTGATCAACTAAATTGTATTTCACAATTATCTATAAGTAATATATACAGTATATATATATATATATATATATATATATATATATATATCTGTGTGTGTGCGTGTGTATATTGCACTCCATATATAGCTAAATATCAAATTAATTCACAATTAAATAAGATTTGGATGATGTAAATAAGTAATTCTAAATTTTTATTTCTATGCAGAAAAATAGATATTGTACATCCTTTTTTTGACAAGTTTCAAAAGTATTTCTAAGCTAGTTTTATATATTTATTATAAATAAGATTTATTTCTGTTAATGTTCTTTTGCTTTCCTTTGAAGTATATATATTTTTGAAAAATAAGACATGATGTGATTGTGATTATTCCTAATAAAAATACACTTTTGCATGTAAGTACATCTTTTACATAATTGTTTAACGTACGATAACCGTGATTATTCCCATTCGCGGAACTCAATACTTGACTCTCTCGATTCAAATCAAATGTAATACATTGCCCAAAACGTACGATTGGTATTATAAGGATCTAATATACACTATTATAAATCTTATTTTATACAAAAAAAAAATTCTTATTATACGTATATTGTTTTTGTATAACTAAAAATACAGTCGAGAAATTATTTTTGAATTTCCAAGGCGGCTGTTTGGTTTTGTATGTTGACGTAAGGTGACTTAATTGCATCAATACGTCCATAGGAAGTAATGTTATGTGTCACGGTCTTTATTTTTGTTGCACACACTTGCATGTGTTTTGGGCCACAAAATTATACTTTTGTTTCAAAAGTTGGCCGTATTGTTAGAAAAGTTTGCTTAAATTTTGCATTAGAGAGCTTCTATACAGTCGGTTTACCATCTTTGGGTTAATGTCATTAGCTTATTGAATGGTAGATAATTACTGGTTTAGTGGTTTACCAAAAAAGGTAATTCTCAAAAATTCTCTTATAAGTTTATACACATATTTGAATAAATTTCAACATTTTTAGAATTTTTCTTGATAAAGTTTGAAATGTGGGTATTTTTAAAAAGTGGTATTTGAAAAGGGGTATTTTTAAAATTCCTCAATTTTTGTATCGTTTGAGTAATATACGTCGTTCAAATATTCAAATTGCAACATATGCAAAAAAAAATTATTATTATACTTATGTTTTATATAGTAATATAAATTTAAAAACAAATAGGATCATAAAAATATATTAGAGAAATATTTGATTTATTAGGGAGAAATTTTAGGAAATTTTATTAATTGTAATAAATATTGATTTCTAGTTTTGCAATTTTATTATGATTTAATTACATAAATTTACCTTAAAGTTTTCCTATTTATTCAAATGACAAGGGTTTAGTGATGCAAATATTACAAAATAAAAGATTATAACCAAAAGGTACTTCAAAATTGTTAAGTTAGATTAGAGGTTGAAATTAAGAGAATGGAAATTAAGATTGATCTTCATGTTGCTTTTTCCAGAATCCTCTACTCCAAAACACTGAGGCCTTTGGCGACACATCGATGCCACAGCTTCTTTCATTGGCTCTGGTCCACATACCAACACTCCTATACTCGACCATTCTCTCAAGTTCTTCTCAAACTCCCACAACATCTCTGTGTTACAAAAATAAATTGAATCTTATAGACATTATTATACTCAAGAATATTATAGTATTTATTAACAAAGTACCTTCAAGTTTTGGCCTTTCTCCGATATGTATCTCATGTTCCTCAATTTGAGCAACTGGTATTAACTCGGTTAAGTTTCTTTCCTCTGGTTCTACTTCTTTAGACATTCCTGGTGCTTTGCTGTGTTGTTGTCTCCATTGTAGAAATCTTGCGGCCAAACCACCAATTGTGATAGCTTTAACGTAAGAGACAATGATGACCAAATCTGGAATCCATGAAGGAACCTTTTCTTTAGCTGTCTTCATTGCTCCTGAAGTAGCTAATTTCATAGACTGTGACTGACTCTTGTGTTCTGTAGGTATAAAGAAATGGCTTAAACCTATCAAGAAGCCAAGAAACGTAAGCATTGTTATAATGACTAATGTGGCAAGCCGTATGAAACTTTCTGGTCCACGGATTGGGAATCTTGAATAGTCCTCCTCGGTTCCGAAGTGAATAGACTGAACTTGTGATTGAGCCAAGAACTCTTGCAATGTTCTTGTTTCATTAGAATGCTTCTTTTCTTGAGTGACATAAACTTTTAACTTGAGACTTAAGTTGTTGACTGGGTTAAAGAGTATAGAGGATATTGGAAGCAACATGTTAAGGTCTTGGAATGTCCTAACCGCAAACACAAGCTGCACCCTCTTGGGAGCTTTGAGTCGGTTTTTGCAAGCGAGTTCATGCAAAATGCTTAGAAATGGCGTGATCCCGATTCCTCCAGCCACAAGAAACAGATTATCATACCTGCCAAACAAATCAATACTTGTAAGTTCAAAATCCATTATTGAAATTAAGCTAAAGTAGTGTTTTAGCAACCTTAGGAAATCTACTGAGGCCGGTCCATAAGGACCTTCTACTCTTATAGCAATCTTGTTTTCAGAATTCGCAGCTTCCTCTACTTTGTTATAAACTGAATTTGTCCACTCCCCCTCACATTTTATCATAACAGACAATGTGTGTTTGTCTACACTCGAGCTTGATGTAATACTAAAGGGATGCCACTGAAACTGCGAGATCACCGGAATGTTCACAAATATAAAACTAGACGGAGCATAACTAAGCCCTGCAAAATACCAAGGTAATTCACTAAAATAAAGAAACCTTCTTAGTATGTAATCTTGAAAACAGAGAAAACTTCTTACTTGGGTCCTTTGGCAAGACAAGCTCAATGGCTTTACAAGAGAAGAGACGGGCGGAAAGAATACAGCTTTCGGATCGTGATTGAACAATCCGAAGTATCTTGTCGAGTCCAAAGAGAAAGATTCCAGGGAGGACCCAGTAGAAGTGACGATCACCAGCATGAAACAAGAAAGCTACAAGGAATACTATATACAAATGGTGTGTATAATAGAAAACTTCAAATTTTTTCCTTCTAACTTGAGGAAGTGATGTGATCCACATTAGTAATCCTACTATAAGACTGATGAGTCCAGCTATATACACCCGACCCGTTCGCTGCCATTTCCAAATCTGTTTTTGACCACAAGAAAGAGTCAGGACAGTCATTTAAAGATTGTTATAAAAAACTGAGTTATTAAATATTTACCTCTTCTTCAATGTGATGAGTAATAGTCCATATGAAGAGAGTGCTTCCACCATGAACCAAAGAAAAGAAGATCAAACCGGTCCCAAGCCACACATGATATTTTACAGAAGCTGCAAACTGAATGTTGAGTAACCGGAACATCGAGAGTCCCCTCAAGACAGGGAAAAGAAGCAAAGAGAGACATGCTTCAGCTAATAGACCAAACCTTGTAGCAACTCTATAGTACTTAAGTTGCCATCTGAAAACATAAGTCAACAAAGATTTAACAACTCTAAATATAAAGGTTCTAGTAAATGCTGGAAGTGGAGAGAGACTATTACAAGTTAAAATCCATGTTCTTGACAGGCGTCAGCTTCTTGAAGTCGTTAGTGACACGGACATAGAAAGTCCAAGCTAGAAAGAGCAGGAATAAAAGAAGAGCAATGATCTCGAAACAAGACACAATCCCAATAAAGCTATTGATAATGGCTGGTCTTGAGACAGGAATAGATGCACTCCTCCCTCCTCTATAGTTGACAAAATAAACATCATCTTCTGATCTTTACTTACTTGTAATAACCGTGGATCAAAGATTAAAAACCATATTAAGTACCTAGTTGGACGATGATGTTGCGGTAGTAAACTCAAGTAAACGAGTCCAATAATAGAGAGAGCAATAGGAGGGAATGAGAACACGGCAAAGTTGAGACCTTAGGCAAGTCATAGATATTGCAAAATTCAGAAACATATTGAAGTAAAAATAAGAGAAGATTAAGTTTAATTTGGGAGGTTCGTTACCGTAATAGCCAAAGAAAGTGTGTTTGATGGTATCTTCAGCTTGATGCCAAGATTGTGTCCATAGAGTTGTGGGTTTAAAGATCCAGAGAGCAATCCAACTGATGAACAAGAGATTCATGAGTATTCGAAGAACAAGAAGTGTCATCACTTTTGCCATCCTTGTTGTGTTCACTAATTTTTTAGTTAGCTCCAATGTTTGAGGTTTTTTGAATCTTTTTCTTTTATCATCATGCTTCTTCCATATCTCTATATATGGACTCAAAATAAGAATACAACATCAAATGGCCCTACCACCTTATCACAACTACGAGGTCGATTGGTAACGATTGTTACTTGTGGCTTTAGAGACTTTGACTGGAAAAACTTTCCATGTAGAGACTTTGACTGTAAAAACTTTCTTTAACTTTCAAGAGATTTAGTCTTATACTATGCTTTATTTATCTATTTAATTTTAATACTTTAGAGATTATGTCAAAAATACAAAAAAGATTTTATATATATTTTTAGTGCTTTAACATTATTTCTTAGTTACTCTTACTCATGTTTTTCCAAAAACAAAATATATAGAAACAATAACTTATTTGCTTATTTCCAAAAAAACTTATTTGCTTATTTGCTTATTTCCAAAATATATATATATATATAATAACTTATTTGCTTATGCATTCGAAAGCATTTGTTCAAAAAAAAAAAGCATTTGTTCGTTTTCATCATGTATTTGTCCTAAAATTCATGTATGCATGCTTAGATTAGTTTTGAGTTTATATCCAAAAAAAAACTCTTGTTGTATGTTTGTGGTTCCATGTGAGACTAGGTTTATAACGTACATTTTCCATCATTAGCTTGATTTTCTTGAACTTGTCACTATAATTTTTGTTTTTTTTCTTGTTTACAGTTCATTATGTATGAGTCACGTTTTTCACTTTCATAGAGGGATAGGTTTGACGTTTTGTTGTCGTCTCTCTTTTCCTACAATTGCTCCCTACCCCGTCTTCTCATGCATTCTTCATGGTCCAGGACATTTCATGGCATTGTTCACAATTTCGTCTTCTTCTCTATTTGGTCCTCACGATATTCTTCTGATGGATATTGGCTTTTCCGACTAACTTTTCTTATATATGAACTTCTATTGGTTTGATTTCATGGGGATCACACGTTCTTTACTTTCTTCAAGCCTCTAGAATTGATTTAATTCTAATATCTGGTCAGTTAATAGTATAGTTATAAGCACGTTTAACTATAACTAAAAAAACTTTGTTTCCAATTTGAAATATTTATCGGTTTATGAAGAACACGAAACTTATATAGAGATATATAAGTTCTCTAAGAAATGTATAAGCTGAGAATCATATCACTATCTTTTTTTCAATGGTCTTTCACTTAAAAATTCGAAATCTACAACTGGTTTTAAGGTATTTTAACTACGACTACCAGTGACAGGAATCCAATATACGTACAAGATATATACAAGATATTTTGCTTTTCGTTAGTTTTTGTTTGTAATTTTCAAGTCTCCTACGTTTTCATTAATAAAATTTTAGATGGCAAAATAAAAATATACAAGAATCTAACTCTAAGCATTATGAAGAGTTTTGTGTGAAATGTTTTTTTTTTCTTTTTGATAAACCCTATCTTCTGATCCGCATCGAAATGTTTCATAGTGGACTTCTCCCTGAAGGATTACCACACTGTTTGTCCCGAGTTTGGAATGTTTTCCGACTAATGTCAGGAGGTAATCAGGCCGCCTGTATTTCTGAGTACCAGATAAATCAATGCCCAATTGACAGACTTCCTACACAACAATAATTTTTGTTTCCAATTTGGATCGAAACATGGATTAGTTCCTTCCAAGCTTTCCCCAATCCGTTGTACCGCATTGGTTAATCCTAAAATTTCTAGTGAAATGTTTACTTTATGAGCAATACTCGATCACAATCATGAGAAATTGTTTAGATTTTTTCCGTGTAGCTTAACTAAAGTGTAGTTTGTTGTAGGAAATATATATATAGAATTCTCAGATTGATTGCTTAGTCCACTAAGATTAAGAAATCTAGAGGTGAAAAAGCATGAATGACGTTGACAATACCATCACGGGTGAAGTGGTGGTAGTCGCGATCCTAGTTCGTCACATAAGGAAACTTGGTCCCTTAGCTGCGTAGTGGATTGATTGTCCATCCATCCATCCATCAATATTACCATTTGATGATACTTAACTAACCTATAGATATCAGTCAAAATAAGATAATTACCAATTAAGAACGAATAAAAAAAAAAAAAAAAAGAGAGAGGTCAAAGATCGTATCTTTAAGTGTAACTAGTTACAATTTTAACTTATATTATAGTGGAATGTAAATGTATAATATGACCAAATTTTCAGACAAGACAGCTAAAAACTTTTTTTTTTTCAGTTTAAATCGTATACATGCAATATATTTGAATTTTACGTCGAGTAAAATATATATTTGGCTGATTTGTGTCATTTTGGGGCTGCTCGGGTTATTTGAGGTAGCTATTTGGGTCAAGATAATATATTTAAGTGTATTAGTAACATGTAATTTTTTGTTTAACCGCCAATGTTCTGGACTTATGACTTACAACTTCAGTCGGTATCTAAAATCAGTTTTTAGTCCATTCGCCCGAAGTACAAAAGAACCAATATCATTTTGTATTACTGACCACAACAAGGCATTAATAGCCTAGAGTAACATGTTGGTAATGCAGCTCACAAAGTTAAAATGATGTACTAGTTTATGTAGTGATCAATTATATTTTGTATAGGTATCAACCCTTTATCTTCTTAGGTTGATATAGCTTGTCATCAAACACTCCAATAGATAAAGTTACATGGCATACGCAATCCCTTCTAAAGGGAGCTGAACAAAGACCAGTAAGCTTATAAAGGAGTAAGGGTGGCCAATGGTGGTTGTTTACAAAGACTAATGGCAACCAATCATGGATAACATAACTATTCGTTATTTTGGTATTTTATACTTGTCATCTTGTAATTATTTTCAATGTTATCAAGTGTTTTTTTTTTCTTTTCTTTTGTAATAGGATATGACTACAAAATTATATGATTTCAAATATTAAAAATAATTTATTTTTCATGAAGTTGTAATTGATATTTTTCTTTATTGAGAAAGGAATGAAAAAGTTAGTGACGTTGGCAATCTCTTGATGGTAAGATGTGTTTTGTCTTGTTAAGACACAAGATGTTTATTTCTACTTTACCCAAAAAAAAAGATATATATATTTCTGTTAAACTGGGGTACAGAAAATAGGTATATACCAAAAAAAAAAAAAAGAATAACCTAATGTTTGTTTTTAAATAGATAAAATTCTCTAAATGTTTGTGTGAATTTTGAAAGCTATTGTTTGAGTGAGATTTGGGAGAAAATTTTGAGCTAATGTGAGCTAAAATTTACACAAGGACAACCATGAAAAGAGAAGAGTAAACATTTTACTGAGTCTTTACTTTACTTTCATGTTTCCATGTATCTTTTTATAATTAGAAGTGTAGTCAAAACAACCATACCATGTTCGTTTGGTCCGATTCAGTTCCCTCAACTGAATCGACCGGTAGGGTTCTAATTTTGGTTAATTTTGCTATCCAAAATTTTATATTTGGTTCAGTTCGAACCGGTCAGTTTTTCGAATAATTATGTTTTGAAAAAATATCCAAATATAATACCATATTCGACCGGTTGTTACTAATACTTATTTCGAACCAATGTTAACAAAAAGAAAATGAAATTAGCCAAACATAACAGAATAACCAGATTTTTATCTTGGTTTTGAAATTCAATACCAAAATTAAGCAAGAGTCAAGCCCAATAACAATATTTTCAAGCAATTTTGACTTCCTCTACTTATTTTGTAGTTACATTGATAACCTAACAACGGAACCAATCCGAAGAGTCGATATATCACATTTATTAACAGTAAATTGTAACATTGTTGGAATTTTCGCCTTCTTCCAAACGAACAAAATAAAAAATGCAAAAGCTTTTATGTAAAACGTCTTTATTAGTATCATAAAACAACACAAAATAAAGTCAAAAATCAATTTGAAACGCATAAGTCCAGGACCAGTTGGTCCAGTACTCCAGCTCTCAACCAAGATGATTTCATTGCTCCCAGCCCACTTTGATATATCAATCTATATCCATTCTCACGCGTTCTCATTTTCATTTTCTTTTTTTTATCATCACGATTTTACGAAAATCAGATTTCACTAAGTGGGCTGGACAACCACTTTCTAGAGATAAATTTTCTATGTACAACAGTCAGATTTCACTCACGCATGCACTTTATTCTCATCGACAACCATGAAAAGAGCATTGCAAATATAGTCAATTTAGTTAGAAGAATTGTGTTTAGTAATCTCCATTGTTTTTTTTTTTTTTTTTATCATTACCGTCTCTATTATGTACGTATAAAGATTATGAACTACGTACTTATTGGGAAGAGATGAATTATGCCTTAAACATGTGTTTTCGAAAGACTATTAATTTTTGGTATTAGGGAGACTATATATATGAATTAACGGTTTGAAGCTTCCTAATAGCAGGTTCAGATCCTTAGACTATCTGAATTGGGCTAATTAGATCTACTTAAATCTACTAAATTTTGGAGGCCACTTATGAGCATGCTCTACAGCCAAACTCGTGAGTAATAGATACTCTTACTGTTCAAGCCTGCACTATTTTCTCAATAAAAATTATTTCCTTTGAAGTATTGTTAAATTTAATTACTACCAAATTATATTTGGTGTTTGGATTTGAGTGCTCTAACTACTTGATTAGGGTTGAAATAATATTTTGCATTAGCCAATCTCGAAAAATTTCTCGTTCGGAAATGTTGACCGACGCTTTAGCGGAAGGACATTGTTCTTTTTTAATCTTTCCAAAAGCGTAATAATTACAAAAGAGTAATGCTTTTTTTATTTGCTACAAAAATTTTCAATAAAATTAGACTTAGTGGTAACTTTAATGATGATCGACCCCGCCTTATTGGTAGATCAAACATTCCATAAATAAAAGACAACAAAAAACGAGAAAAATCATGTTTAGTCCTTTTGGTAGTGACACCAATTTATGTAAGCAGTTTGGATTAACAACAAACTCTGTTCTCTTTTGCAGACCATCATATATTGTAAAGCAGACTTTATACGTTCGTTCGATAAAAAAGTAGTCGGTAAGCACGTGACAGTCAGCAGCAACACCAAATATATATGCCATCCTCAATTATGTCACTTTTCATGTATAGAAAAGTTGAT